GAGACTCCGTGCAAAATGAGCTGCAATCTATGTCTTACAATGTCTGACGGACCTTTGATCAAGTAGCACATCCGAGCCCTACCTCAGCCTCACAACATAGACAGAGAATGGAACCTGAGAAGTTAAGGGATCATTTAGATAATTATTCATCAATATGCTTTTTTTATTTCATTTTTTTTATTGACATGCTTTTTTTCTATATCGTCCAGCCCTTGTATGTACTGATCAAACCTAAGTAGTATTATCAGTAAAGGTTTTTTACTTTGTTTTTATGGCACAACATTTTTTTTAAAAAGTATGCCTTGGTGTCTATTTGTTAATGTAAGTTAATATATGTAATTAAATTTACGATCTGTACTAGTTAATGCCCACATACATCATGTTACATGCATCTGTTTGATCTTTTAGAGAAGGTTAAGCAGTTAGGAAGATGAGCTTTAAAGTTGCAACTCAAAGTACAGACAACAAATGTATGAGGAAAAAATCGACCCCTGATTTAGCTGTTAGACTTCCAACCAGTTGGTGGCAGTAATGCACCTGAAGGTTGTTCACATTAAAGCCAAAAGAAAGGAATAAAAATGGACGCTGTCGGATAAATAACAGAGCAGGAAAGAGTCAACGTTTAGAGGCAAAGCTCTTATCTCAGTCCCACAGAAGGTGATGAGAAGGTGTGAGAGGAAACCAGACCGGTTCAGCGGTCCTGTAAGGAGAAAAGAGACAAAGAGACATGTGGAAGGTAGCTTAAACTAAACTCACACAGTAATGGAAAAGGAGAAGTATGGTTTCATCATTTTGAAATTAAGCAAATGAGAATAATTTTGGTCATTGTTACTAACCTTTAATAGTTAGGATCTGATATACATTTTTGACTGTGATTTATAAAAAGCATATTTCAGTTGCTATTTTGGATGGAAATTTAATTTAAAATTTATTTAATTGAATTTCTCCTAATTTGTTTACTGTGAATTGGTGGAAAACCTCTTTCGTTCTTTGCATTTGCTACAAAATATATAAATTTTGCTTATGTGTGGCTGTTTATCTGCCTTTAGTATCTTGCTTGTTTGTAAGAATGTTGCTTATTGATGTTTAAAATGAAATCCATTAACTTTAATAGTAAAGTTGCTACTAGGAAACAACCTTGTTTACTTGGAGGTTTTATCACCTTTGGAGTAAACGACTTGAGGAGCTCTAGTTTATCCTTAAGCAGAAATATTGACCATTTACAGGACTTCAGATCTAAAGAGCTCATAATTGAAAGAATGGAGAAAGTGACTTGGCTGCGATTCAGTTGAAATATTGGCTTTATTGATGAAATGATTAAGAGACGCTCATGAATTTCCCTCTAGCTGTCAGAGCTTTAAGTCACCTTCCTAGTGGACGTTTCTTAGCCATACCAGCCATGCGGTCTGATTTAGACTTTGAATTGAGTTGATTTAAACACTCCAGGCTCAGTTCATGTATTTCAATGTCCATTTGTGGTTTGTTCCCTTTTATCCTGACTTTTTTTCTTTGCTGGACTCCTTTGTGGGGGAGGGGGTGTTAGCGATCAGAGCGTCTCCTCCGTCTGCTCCCTGCTGGCATGCTGCTGTCGAGAGTTTAAGGGCATTACTGTCACAAGGTGACCAGGCAGAGTGCCAGCCATGAAAGTAGGTGTGTTTGTGTTTTCTCGGGGGGGTCAAACGAGCTCATCTCAGCCCTGTCCCCGTCTAATCCCTCCACTCAGTCCATTCTCACGAGCAACACTGTGCCACTTCCAAACCCCCACATTCCTCAGTCCGGACATAAAGTGCCTTTCTGCCCCCCCTGTCCTGTGTCCCTGTGTTCTCCCTCTGCACTCGGCCTTTTCATCTTCTGTAATCACGGATTCATTTGCGAGGCTCTCCTGTTATTGTCTGTGGCAGACAGAAGCAGACTAATAATGTGCTTTTTTTTTGAACCACTCTTTTGAGATCGGTCCGCTTGGGCGTCAAATTACTCTCATTTCACAGAGGGCGTCCCAACACCAGTCCAGCTTTGTGTCTCTCTAACCCCCCCCACCCCAGCCGCTGGAGGACTTCGAAATGAAATTTCAAGGTTTTTTGTGTTTTGTTTGTTTTTAATTGAAGTTGGAATCGGGAAATGGTGGATAATGGGTTCCTGGATTGATCTCAGCTTTGGCTTCGCTGATGTTAATTGCATTAGATGGCTTTGTTTTCTAAATATTTCTGCTGCTGTAATTAATCACCATAGAAGACGCAGTTTTAAACCACCTAGACGGAGCTCGGACTAAAGGTCTTTTTTTTTTTAAATTAAAAATCAGCGTAATTAAATTCGAGGAACAAAAGGAATCCATTTTTATGTATGGTTTTCCCATTTCATTATTCAAAAAGTGCAAATGTTCAGGTAAGAATGCAGAAGCTATTGCAAATATTAACTTAATGTATTGTTTTGGGATTAGGCATCAAAGTATGTCAACCAGGAAGCCGTTAGTAATGCTCTTACCTATCCTTTCTCTATGGGAGAGTGGATGGGCCATGTGGTTAAAGAGCCTTAAATATTTGTTTAGGCTCTTTGTTAATCTGTTAATTTAATTTTAAATCAACATTTAAAATTTTATTGCAAAAACATATATCTATATAATCAGGGTCATTAGGTGGGTGGAGCGGCACCCTAGCGCCCTCTATTGACCAGCTACCACTGCCTTCCAGCATTACAATAAAAAACAAAACATTACAATACATGTATGCTCTAGAGCAGGCATCCCCAAACTCGGTCCTCGAGGGCCGCTGTCCTGCAGGTGTTAGAGGTTTCCCTGCTTTAGCACAGCTGATTATAATGATTGCAGTAGAGCAAAAGCCTGTTAATCAACTATCAATTAAAATCAGCTGTGCTGGAGCAGAGAAACATCTAAAACCTGCAGGACAGCGGCCCTCGAGGACCGAGTTTGGAGATGCCTGCTCTAGAGGCTAACCGATACGTTGGTGGGCCAATGTTTTTGCCCGATATCAGAGGAAAGTTTTTTATATTGACATCAGCTGTGCGTACATTCGCCTATTTCTTATTGCATTTATCAAAAATGTGATCACATGAATTATAAGAATCAAAGAAACGTCGCCCCCCTATATCTATACCTAATATCTACTCATTTTTAATATTTAGTTTGGCTTAAGAATTTTTGTTTTAAATTGTTGCATTTGATTTAACTGTCATTTGTTCATGTAACTAGTAGGTAAAAAAATTACTATTGGCTTCCAAATAACCCCAGTTAGACTGATGTCAAAATAATTGGCATCGGCCTAAAAAAGACTTTATCACTTGATTTCTAATATGTAAGTATTTAAGCTAATTTCAGACTGTTTATTTTTATTATCATCATGATGCTCTTCCTCTGCTAATAGCTGCATTATTCAGCTCTAGTGTAAAAACCTTTCTGTAATTCTCTATAATTGTGGGCTGACACTTTTTTTTTTTTTTTTTTGGCTTCGCCCGAAACATGCATCTGCAGATTCATCAGTGCTTTCAGCAGTCATACCTTGAGGTCACCTAGGATGCAAGCATAGCTGCATATCCTATCCATTTTTAATGTTGGGCTCGATTTGTTAATAAATGTTTGTTTAAATTAAGATTTATGTAACATTTATCATTTTTATCATATGAATAGAGGAGATAAAAAAAAAAATATATTCCTATAAATTACCCCAAAACATCTGCAGCACATATCAGTGATCTGTTAGACCAGAGACCCCAAAACTTTTCAGTTTGTACAAGAATTGTACAAGAAATGGTACAAGAATCAACAAATATTTCTACAATATAAATTAAAGACAGGTGTGGTAATATAGCTAACAACATTAATAGCCAAAGTATTTTTTTTTTTATCCATTTTCATGCTTTTATATACTTAAGCATTTAAATGTAAATATTCAAATTAAATATTGTTTAGTTTCTTTACTGGATTTCAAGGCCCCATGTTGGTTGATTAAGGACCAAAAGAAGGGTCAGGATAATTTTCTGTCGAAAATGTGCTTTTTCAGCCGATAGACATTTAACACCGAAACTTGTGATGACGTAGCAAACACCACGGCCGGCACGCAGGAATGTTTTCGAGTGTGCAAAGTAAAGCACTGAAGCAAGAGAGGACAGGTGGCAGAGCAGTTTGTCAGAGCTGAGCTTGCAGCAAACAGGTTTTGAGTGAGAGGGTGCAAGTTTAAATCCTGAGCATGGATCTCACTGCTCCCTCAGATCAGTGGCAAAAACATGATGCCATAGAAATCCAAACGTCCCCATCAGCATTCGGAATATAAGAACGTGACACGGAAACTGAAACTGAACATTCCCACTCAGTCTGTGAAGGACATGTTTGAAAATCCAGTAAAGTTTCCCAGTGATTCTGCTGAGGTAAATGGCATAACAAAAAACATGTCGGTAGTAAATGAATATTTTGATACTTTTGTAATTGATTTATTAAAATGCCCTGATTTTACTGAGTTTATTAAACATTTATAATTATTATGTTTCTAAAAAATTTCTATAACCAAAAATGCTTTGGTTCTAATATTTGACATATTTCCTTGCGGTGTTTCAGTTTTTGGCCTTGGTTTCCTCTTTTATAATTTTTTTCCCCCTTCGGTTTCAGCCAAGAATTTTCATTTCATTCAACCCCTATATTAGGAATAATCAGTAGTAGTACAGGCTTTTGCTTGTCTGTGTAACCCATTATGACCAAAACAATTCCTCATGCTCTTCTTCTGATTAACCTGAACAGCCTGTTCTAATCAAGGCAGATTCATGCATTAGACCAAAGTCCAGACTGGACTGGGTAGATCTTCATAGAGGTTATCTAGTCAAAGAAAACCGTCACTGGTTGGCTCGATGCTTCATCCGTATATTGATCTCTGATATTTATGCTTTGATGGATTAACATGGGTATGAAATGGTTTGTTGAAATCTTAGGACAAGTGGACCTCTGCCGCCTGATTAACTTCAAATGTGTTATTTAATGTAAACGTTTTCTTTTTTAGTGCACGGTGCAGGTGAAGCTGGAGTTGGGCCACAGAGCTCAGCTGAAGAAGAAAGTGACATCAGAAGGCTTCACCCATGACTGGATGGTTTTTGTCCGAGGGCCAGAAACCGGCGACATCCAGCACTTTGTAGAGAGGGTCGTCTTCCGCCTGCATGACAGCTTCCCCAAACCCAAGAGAGGTAAGATGGATCTGTTGTTGGATATAAAGTAAATGCACATTTGAACATTTTTGTAAGAAAGACAAATGTTTAAAACCCTCTGTATAAATCAATTTTTTTCTGCAGTATGCAAGGAGCCGCCGTACAAAGTGGAGGAATCAGGCTATGCAGGCTTCATCATGCCCATCGAGGTCTACTTTAAGAACAAGGTGGGAACGGTATTTTAGTTCTAAATGTTTCATTCATTCCTGTTTTTTGCTGTTCCATATTTAAACCCGGTTCATAGTGAATCCACTTGCCTTAAGATTGTATTAACTTTTGCATAAATCTTTCAAATATTGGCTAAATATTTCTGTCAGGAATTTGAGTTCAGGGAATAATTGAACGTGGAGGAACTACACACCTCATAGGGTGTGTATCCCTAAAGGTGTAGAGGAGTCTCTACACTAAGTATCTCCTCAGCCTCTAACCAGGTTCTGCATGAGCCAAAGTCTGATGTCAAACAATCGGCTCCTTAGTAGAACCTTGCAGGAAGGTTGTCTGCAGTTCCAGGGCAGGAATTGATGGAACCTGCCCTGAAGACCTGAGGTGGCCTGCAATTTGCTTTTATTTTGAAAAATAGTTTCATTTTGAAGATATCTGCCTTCTTTTGGGTTAACTACAGTAGCATCTTGTTTTTTGTGTGTGTGTGTGTGTGTGTGTGAATCTTTACTGAATTTCTTTTTTTGTAAATGTTAACTTAAAAAAACAAAAAACAGATTTATAGTATTTTGCTAGCTAGTCACTTTTTTAAACTGTGATCACATACACTGTTGGTAATTAATTTTGCAAATAAAACTGAAGCTTGTTGATTTAGTTAAACCTCTAGGTTGAGATGATTGAAGCTCAACATAAATTATTTTCTAATTTTTTTTACTTATTAAATTCATTTGATGGATGCATTACTACAATAAGTGAACATTGTTGGGCAGATAATCTTATTTCTCAGAGTGGCCTTAATGTTCCCATAATGCAAAACTAATTTTTTGGGGTTTAAAAGCTTCCCCGAGGAAATATTAGTTGTAGGGATGCATGATATAATCAGCCCCCTATCGGTATCGGCCTTAAAACTGAATATCGGACATCGGCCACCACACTGATATTTAACCCGATATTTGATCAGCTTCTGAGTTTCTAAAGTCTAAAAAAAAAAAAAAAAAAAATACTACTTCTTCTTCTTCCTCAAAAACTTGACTTAAAAACTTCTAAAGATGAGGGAAAAAATATTGATACATTAAAATATCACAATATCTTCATATGCTGATATATTGCCATTTAAAAACATCATATCAATCTCTTTTACTAATGAAATATTGCTATATGTCATCGAAATTTTTCCATATTTTTATATGTTGATATATTGCCGCGGTATCGATGTATTTTACTAACAAAATCTCACAAGAATTTGCAAAATATCATGAGAGTTTGTAACAGAACGATGATATTTCACAAGATTTTGAAAGTAAAATAGATCGATACCGCGTTTTTAAAAATCTATTTAATATCAGCATATGAAAATATATTTGAGTATATTATTTTTCAAACTGTCAGAAATGGATAACAAAACTGCTATTTTTAAATTTGTTTTTTTTTTTGTCCAGCTTTAACATCGGTATCGGTTATCGGCTACATGAGTTTTAAAATATCGGCATATCGGATATCGGCCAAAATCCCAATATCGTGCATCCCTAATTAGTAGCTTTGAATCCTCCATCACATTAACAAATGCTTCTGGCTCACAGAAATTTAGGTAACATGTTTGAACTTTGGTTGTTTTGCTTCTACAACTCCTAAGCTGATCTCTTTTCAGCGTGCAGACTTCTATCGTGTCAGTGTTATATTTTTTCTTCGTTCTTCTTCTGCTGCGACTCCCAAAGGAAGTTTCATTCCTGTTTCTTTTGTTCAGGAGGAGCCAAAAAAAGTCATCTTCAACTACGACCTGTTCCTCAACCTGGAGGGTAACCCTCCTGTCAACCACCTGCGCTGTGAGAAGCTCACCTTCAACAACCCCACCAAAGAATTCAGGAAAAAGCTCATCAAGGCTGGAGGGGTAAGGCTGGCTCACTCACAGCTTTTACTGAAAAAAAGGGAAGAAGAACTGAGGTTGGAAAACATTTTAATGTGTTTGTAGAGAGAACAAAACATGCTGTTTTTATTCTAAATTAAATTTCAGACAAGAGGCTGTAGGTTGAACTGAACAGACATCCTGCAGAAGCAGCTTTTTTTTAAAAGCTCCAGTGTTAACAGCATTAAAGCTGTAAATAGTATTATAACTGAAGTAGAACTTGAAACATCCTGTAAATATTAAAATCTAATGAAAGGAAATGGATGAGGAAGAATCTGATCCATCACCTGCCATGTTTTCTTTCCTTCCACCCATGTCGCTATCAATGTTTTTTCCATAAACGGCTCCAACTGGACAGATGTCTCATCCCGCTCTTGGTTCTTCCTGTTTTATTGCAGCTGTTATGTCATGTTACCAATATTTATAGAAATAATGAGTCAGTTTGGAAAAATAAGGAGTAGAAAGAACAGATATTTGCTTTGAAACAATGTGAGCAAAAGTAAAAGGTCCTTAAGAAAAAAATGATCAAATTTAGTTTAGAAAATCTGAACTAAAGTATAGAAACAAAAAAGCTACTTAAGAACAATAACTGAGAATTGATATTTAGTTAATTAACATCTTTGTCATCTTTTTCAGTTAATTGGTGAATTTAATTCCAGGTGGTAATGTCAAACAGCAGCAGAAATACTTTCTAAATACTAACAGATGTTCTTCAATCTTTTTATTTATTTATTTTTTACATGGTTGAAACTTCTTCCCTGTGATCTTCTATTTAATTCAAACCTGTAGCTTTATATTTGATCTGTTAGTGGCTTATTAGGTTTGTTTCTGTCTTTCAGTGTACATTTTATGTGCTATATTATTCAGTACTTATTTGACTTTTATCTGAATGTCATTGCGATATTCGGCTTACCTACTTCAAAGGTAATTTATTGTTTGAAATGCACTCAGTATTTTTTTTTTATCAAAACAATGGCTGAAAATGTACAACATTTGTTGGACTTATAAGGATTAGTTAATGATGTATTCATCTTTAATGATTGCGCATATTGCAACATTGGATCAAAATGTGCATTTTTAGAGTGCATTCTAGCCTGCAGAGACAGGGCATCCTACTTGAGCTGAAAGAAATCCAACTGCAGGTCTGGTCATCTTAATTTCTTCATCTTTCTTGAACTTTTCCTTGACGTATGGCACAAAGTCTAGAATTAATCGCCAGTCAGTAAAGTGAATGAGCGCCATACCACCAGCTGTTCCCCAGGTAACCATAGTTGATAACTACTTTCTCAGAATACAGACATGCTTGGCACCAACAAATTGAGCTTTTTTTTTTATATATATAGAAAGCTATTCCTGACTGGAGAACCCTGAAGAAGTGTTTTAAGGTCTTGATAGGTTCAGAAAAATAAAAATAAACGTTTGGAATTTGAATGTTTTACAACATGCTTTACTTATGTTTTGTTTTAATGCAAAAATATTTTAATAACAAATTAAGTAAAATTTTGTGAGTTAAGATCTTTAAGCGTAAAAGTTCAATAATGTCTCAGCTTTTTTTTTTCTTTTTTATTCTTAAAATTTAAGAAATTGTCTTTTACCTTCAAATAAAAAGGAGGTAGATATTTAAATTTGGCCTTGGAGCTTATAAATGAATAACACCTACAGGTCTAATTAAATCTTTTTTGCTTAGAAGTTGTTTCAACATTATGAAAGAAAGGTTAACATTTACTTTGACCATGATCAAAACCTTCAATATATAACAATCTGTTCTCACATTTGTTTAAATTCAAATTATTTCATTTAAGCTTTTTTTTTTCCCCTATCAAACCAGTAGAAAGTTTATTTCTATAAACTGACTTTGTGCCAAATCCCAGAGGCTCAAAATGACTGCTTCTCATTTTGAACTTGGAGTACGGTGCTGGTTTTGAATGTCAGCAGGGAAACACTGTGACTCATGTGTATTTAATTTCAGATACTGGTGGTCCCTGAGGGGGCTGAAGCCGTGTCGAGGCCCAGTCCGGACTACCCAATGCTTCCCACCATCCCCCTCTCAGCCTTCTCAGACCCCAAAAAGACAAAGACCTCTCATGTATCAAAGGTAGGACAAAGAAAAACACAATCATTTTGTTATGGTCCCCCTTGGTCACTTGTATTCTGCTCACATTGCTTTCATGTACAGATGCAATGAAAGTTTCTATCATTTCTATCTTAAGAAGAGAGCGACTAGTCAGTAATCGTTCCCAGCTGTTTTTGCGTGCCTTGGTGTGCAGGATTACTCCCTTCTTATCTGTGGAGAGAGGGCGTACATTAGGGAAAATCCAGGAGAATGGCTCCTTTACATTTTTAAGGGATGATTCAGTTGCAGTACACTGTAGATATTTATTCTCTTCCAGGCCCACATTTTTATGATTTTTGAATATATCTTAAAAAAAAGAAGAAAAAAAAAAAAGAGAGGGAGAGAATATAAAAACTTCTTATTTCAAACTAAGGTTTCCACCCTGGCCCTCAGCATCTACCGTCCTGCATGTCTTAGGACACATATCAAACTTCTGCATCTTTTAGAGTTGCCTCTGCTTTAATGCACCTGAATCAAATAATCAGCTAATTAGCAGGACTTTAGATAAGGGCATGCATATGCTGCACATTGTTTTTTTTGTTGCCCTTTTTGGGTTGATTTTCAGTCGTGAGAATTTTTTAAATCGGTCGGTTTTAGGCTTGTTCTGCGTCATGTAGTATGCAGGGGGTTATAAGCGGCGATTAGCATCTGACAACAACATCGTACAGTCAGGATAAAATCAAGTATGTCTGAAGTTCATTGCACTAATAGGTGCACATGTTGTCTGTACCATGAATACATTCAGTAGCCTTTGTTTTTCTCTCAGTAACTGAGCATTTTTTCTAAATTTAGTCTTTTTTTTTTTTTTTGACTTGGTACATTTTAATGATATCTCTAGTGTCAATAAGGGAGGACATTAGTTTAGACTCTTTCCTGAACTGTGAGAATAAGGGCAGGTGTCTGATTCTAGCATCTTTCCATTTTCACCAGCAGTTTTTTAACTCTGCTGTTTTTAATCAGATTCTCTTGAAGGTCAATCAAAAAAAAATAGTCAGAAACTGCTCTTATCATTTGTTAAATGACTCCGAACTACAAAGATAGGTGTCAAAACAGGAACTTGAGAGGGTTATTTATGTGTCGACTTCCTCTCGTCTAGACTATTGCGACACACTTTTCTCAAGTATTAACTACGACAGCTAGTCGTTTGCTTCAGTTGGTTCAAAAGTGCAGCTAGAATCCTGAACAGATGAGCTCACATTACTCCTATTTTAGGGTGTTTTTTTTTTGTACCATTTATTTGTTCATTTTAGAAAACATTTAAAATCAGATTCTCAACTTTCCATCCTGTATTACTGACTTGCTAAAGCCACATAATCCAGGTTCAGACCTGGAGACCTTAAGCACCACCCAGGGTCCCGAGAACCAGGAAAAAAAAATATACAGACTGCTAAACCTGAGCGGTGGAGCCCGCTTGCCTCTTGTTAATATTTCATATTTTATTATATATTATAGAGAAAAATCTAGTGGCTTTTCATTTTTTGAGTTTGGCAACTTCACATGAAAGCAGCAATGGTTCAACTGTTACTATCTCAGGACAGCAGCTAGAGCTGCTTTGAGTCTCTTCCTCCCTCAGCGCTGCCTCACAGGCACAGACGGCTATTTCCCACAGCTAATGAATAACACTCGTACACAAAGCTGCAAGTGATTCCGCCCTGGATTAAGCAGGATATAGATATAATGTAAATATTTTTCATTCGGTTCTCTGGTTGTTGTTTTTTTTGGGGGGGGGGAATGTTGCACTATCATTGTTACCTGATTACCACACGGATTAAATCACTAATTCACCTCCCATTGCATGTGCCTCTGATTTTATTCCTTTGGGTAAAATTAAACATGGTGATTTAGGCTATGTGTAAAAATGTATACATTATTTTATGAATTATTATGTCAGCTGCGTTTCAACAGTATTTTTAAGGAATTTTAATTGTCTAGTTTTGTTTTAGATTTGCATGAACCAAAAGTTAGCTCACCACAACGGTTAGCAAAAAATCCCTTCACTGTAATGATATTTTAATAAAAGCTTAACTAAAAATTGAAGTGAAAAGTTTAAAAACAATCCTAGATTTGATAAATGTAAAATTTGAGGCAGTATATTGAGCTTTCTGCTTTCCATTTAATGTAACTCCTGCTCTTCTCCACTCCTCAGGAACCCAGCAAAGAAGGAAGCGGCGGCAGCAGCAAAGGACCCAAACCACACAAACTGACCAAGGAGCACCGTGAACGGTCGAGAAAAGACTCTGAGAGCAAAGGCTCATCCAAAGGAGACGACCGTGATGGAAGCAGCAAAAGCGGGCGTGATCCCTCCTCCTCCTCATCTTCGAAAAAGCCCTCCGAGATCAAAGTGAAGGACGAAGTCAAAGTTCAGCCCAAGGCGGCCTTCAAGGAACCCAAACTCACCCTGAAGGAGTCAAAGATGGACGGCATGTCCCCCAAAGGAGGGGGGGCAGGTAGCGGAGGGGGAGGCGGCGGCGGAGGAGGAGGAGCTGTAGAGGCCAAAGCTCCAGGGAAGCGACCGTCCGCCGTGGAGTCGCCCAAACCCAGCGCCAAGAAACAGAAGAAGGGTGGCTCGGACGGGCTGAAGGGGGCGACCGGCGGGACGTTCACTGGAACCTCTCCTCGCGTCTCTTCATCCTCTGCGGTCAGTCAGTCCTACAGCGAGAAGAAACCTTCCAAGGAGAAAGGTCGCTGGCCCAGGAGCAAAAACGACAGCCAGGAGCTGAAGGAGCTCAAGAAGCCTCCAGAGTCAGAGGAGTCCAACTCGGAGGATGAAGCATCATCAAAGTCAGAGGTATGGATGTTTACTTTGTTTAATGGATAATAGATTAATGTGCGTTTAAATGAGAATAAACCTTTTTTTTTTTTCTCAGCATTGCTATTTTTTAATGGACGTAAGATATCACTTTTTTTTTTTTTTTTTACTTTCCTTTCACATTTATTTGTTCTTTTAACTCCTGCATCGTCGTGTCTGTTCTTACAGCAGTCGGCTCCGTCTAGCGCTTCCGTTTCTACGTCTAGTTCTGATTCCAGTTCAGATTCAGACTTCGAGCCGGAACAAAAACAAGGGCAAGGTGAGTTTGCTTCTTATTTATTTTCAGTTGATTGAGTCGTCGATAGCCTCATGCAGTTTTGACTGTGAGGCCCTAAACCTGTTTATGTAAATGATATGTGCTGATAAGAGGGTCATTCTTCCTGCTACCGAAGCTTTTCTGCTTCAGCTTCTTTAATCTGGAGGAAACTGTTGCAAAACAACTAGAATAAAAGAAAACTCAATCTGTCAAAGCGCCTATGATTTCAAAGCTGAACTAAGTCACTCTGGTTTTTGCTTTTGAGCCGAATGTTAATGAATTTTAAACAAATAGTTGAAACGATCACATCTTCAGAGAGTAACTAGAGCGGAGAGGAAACAATGTGGCTTTGGTATGATTTTTCATCGGAAAACTGAGGCTTTTTATTTTCAATGATTGTCAGTCATTACCCTTTAAATTTTTGTGGCTTCACTCCTGACTTCATTGCTACTTTCCTTCTAAAGCTAAACTGTTTTAGCTTCCAAGTGAGGAGTCTTAATAAAACGATGTCTTTTATAATTAAAGCTTTTGTAACACGTCCTGATGGATCACTACAGGCACAGCATCACTTACAGTGTGCTTGATTACAATGTGTCTGGGTCACTGATGCATAATCCTTATTGGTTTTCCATCAGATGCAAAACATTCAAATATTTCAAGTTTAAATGTCTAAAATGGCTTTGATGGGATGTTAATCATAGGAAATGCTACAAAGAGGCAGATTTCACTCTTCATTACAGTAATTTAGTTATTTCAATTGTGGCTGATCTTGCTGATATCTTCACATAAAAACATTTGTATGAAATGTACCGTATTTTCACGACTATAAGGCGCACTTAAA